GTAAGTGCGTTCAGCTTCACTGATTCCACCAGTGGGCCCAGTGACTCTTTCACAGAGCTATTCATTGCATTATGGTCATTTGTAGCGGCCCCAACAGAGATCAGGGCACAGAGACGGTCCTTTCCCCAAAGTGCTTACAGTCTAAACGGGCAAAGGGTGGGAGGGGAAGAGAGGTGAAGGGATTTGAGCAGGGTCACACAGCGGGTCAGTAGCAAAGCCTCACTTTTGATACATAAGTTCACTTGGTGGATTCTGTTTTCACTAGAACCAAGTCTCCTGAGTCATAGTCTAGTGCCCTGTCTGTGGGCGCACACAGCAATTGCCCTATTCCTCTAATAACGGACTCAGGAGTGTGGTTGCCAAAACAAGTAGGTTCTGACTAAGGAAATCAATCCAATAACACTTTCCTGCCTCTTCTCTCTGTTCCTTTGGGGCAGAAGCACGGCCATCACTCGCAGAGAGCTTTGGAGTTGATTTGGTTGTAGTGAGATTTTCCTAATTCTCTTTGTGTTCTGGTGCAAGCCCAACATGATGCGGCGGCATTCCCCATCGCCTCGGTACCGCTCCCCGGCACCATTGGGGTCCACCCCGCCCTGGTTGGGCTCGGACTATTCCTCTGAGTCCGAGGCGGAGCTGTTTGTGTCCCGACACAGCCGGTACCGCTCAAGATCCCGGCACCGGTTTCGGCACTGTAGAGCAGAGGACCCCTCGGTACTGATGGGGTCCTAGGTGCCCCAGTGACAGGGCCCGGTACAATGGCCCTTTTGGAAACACGGGGCCTATCACCAGGCCCAAGGGCATAGTTCCAGGGCGGCATCAGTAGTTTCCATTGCCCATGCCCCCCCTCTGCAACGTCAGTCGCCCCTGACACATCCAGGGCTCCCGAGGACACACCACGGGGTTCAGACCCCGGGCCTCCTGGATCGGATGCATTGTCAGAGCTGCCAACACCTGCGGCTCCCGCACCACCAGTCGCAGCAGCGGTGGATATCCCCGAGCACATCACCAGGGAACCGGAGGGGCAGGTTCCCTGTCCCACCACGAGCCTCATCTTCTTCCTCGCCGGACGAGGCAGTAGCGGGCACTATTACATCCTTCCCGGCAACGGACATAAAAGCCTACCAGGACCTCCTTAGGAGGGTGGCCCAGAACCTCAATATGCAAACTGAGGAGGTTGTGGAGGACTCGGACCCAATGCTCGAAATACTCGCCCCGGAGGGTCCCTCCAGCGTGGCAGTGCCACTTATAAAAACTATACAAAACACCACAAAGATGCTCTGGCACACCACAGCCTTTATACCACCTACAGCCATGGGTGTAGAGAGGCGTTACTTCGTTCCACAAAGAGGGTATGAGCATCTCTTCACCCATCCCAACCGGGGACCTTGGTGGTGGATGCAGCAAACCACAGGGAGCGTCGGGGGCAACCAGGGCCCGCCTCTAAAAATATGGAAGCCAAGAAGCTGGACCTCTTCAGTCGAAAGGTATACTTGACCGGGGGGCTCCAGCTTCGAATTTCCAAGCAGCAGGCGGTACTGATCCTCTATGTGTACAATTCTTGAAACATCCTCTCCAAGTTTCAGGAACTGCTCCGGTCGGAGTCACGACAGGAATTTGTTGCAGTCCTAGAGGAGGGCAGAGTGGTGGCTAGAACCTCCCTCCAACCTGCTCTGGACTCCGCCGACTCGGACTATGGCTATAGCCATTACAATGAGGAGTAGCTCATGGCTACAGGTCTCGGGACTCCCGGTAGAGGTCAGAATACAATACAGGACCTTCCATTTGACGGTGCGGGGCTGTTCGCTGACAAGATGGACTCGAGACTGCCAGGGCCGGCTCCAGGCACCAGTGAAGGAAGCAGGTGCTTGGGGCGGCCAATAGAAAAGGGTGGCATGTCCGGGTCTTTGGCAGCAATTTGGCGGCGGGTCCCTCAGTCCCTCTCTTCCTTTTTGAGCTGCCGCCAAAGAGGAAGTGAGGGGGAGAAGGACCCGCTGCCGAATTTGCCGCCGAAGAATGGAGCAGCACGATTGAGTTGCTGCTGAAGTGCCGCCAATAGGCGCTTTTTTTTTTTTCCACTTCGCCACTTGGGGTGGCAAAAAGCAAACGAGCAACCCTCAAGTCTCTGGGAATTCACACGCCAGCATCCCAGAGAAAGCCCTTCAAGCCCCAGCCCCCCTCACGCTTCTATCCAGGGCCCCCTAGGCGGGACTATAATCGACGGAGGGGCAGAAACAACAGGAGGTGTCCTCCGGAGGGCTGAAAGCCAGCAGTGCTTTAAAAGTTCCTCCTTGCTCTCCCTCCTGAGAGCAGCCGAATAGCTGCGAGGGTGGATGCTCAGCCCCTGGGAGAACCAGGAGAGGAAAGCGAAGGTGGCTGCATTCCTTTCTCCCTCCAAGTGTGCGGCCTCTCCCAAGCCTGCTCCATGGTGGAAGGAGGGTCTCCCAGGCCAACACCTTGATCACTAGACCATGCTTCCTCTCTGGGCCTGCAATGGCTCCTCCCAGCTTCTGGGGGTTGTGGGCAGCCCCTCTGCCTACCTTCCCTCAAATCCTCCTCCTGGATAGGAACCGGGAAAGAACAGCTGGAGGTAGTGGTGGCAGCATCTGGGGCAAGGTGTGGAGGGGGGAGTAGTGTCCCCAGCCACTCCCCTCTAGCATCCATCTACACCCTCAGGCATGCCACCCATACCCACTCAGTTTTCCACACAGACATCTCATCAAACAGCCTCCAGCTTCTCACCCAGCCAGCCCAATCTAGCACCCGTTGGCCAATGCTTGGAGCAGGGTGTGCTGACCAGGCACTAGAGTTTATGTTATTTACAAGTATGCAGATTAGCTCAACATAATTTGCATGACATCACCCATGGAGCTGCACAAAACTGGCAATGGCAGGGTCTGGATGGAGGGCTGGGGGCACAGGAAGTGGAGCCGGGGTGGAGGGAGGGCAAGGAGTGCAGGGGGAGCTGAGTGAGGGCCGGGGGGGTGCAGTGGGGGCAGACAGAAGGCAGGGGGTACAATGGGGGGCAGAAAGGAGGTTGGGATACGAGTGGGAGGTTGGGGTCACCGTGGGGGGTAGCTGAGTGGGGGCAGACAGGAGGCTGGGAGAAGAGAGTGGGGACACAATGGGGGTAACTGAGTGGGGGCAGACAGGAGGCTGGGGGAACAGAGGGGGGACACAATGGGGTTCCTGAGTGGGGGCAGACAGGAGGTTGGGGGCACAGAGGGGGGACACAATGGGGTTCCTGAGTGGGG